GTCTCTTATCGTCTGAATCAAAATGTCAGCCCTCACAACAGGGTCGTCCACGGTTGCTGGGAACATCTTCATTGAAACCGGAGGAGAATAAGTACTGCTCTCAAAAGCATCATCACTGAGAAAGCAATAATAAAGTAGTGTCCACCCAAATTTTGCTATTCTTGTCGACAGTATTTTCAGACTAGTAAAAACATTTGTAAATAAGTCGCCTGATATCTCCTTTTTATCTTTGGACACTCCCAAAAGCGTATGGAAGCCGTTATACAGAGAAGGTAGAAGTGAATCATGAAGTCTCGCAAGCATAACAAGCAACTCCTCATTCCCATAACTGCACGGATAATGCAAAAGTTGATTTTATCAATTAATGGGGTGTTGAAACTTGAAAGTACTGACATCTGAATCTTTCCATAAAAAACATGAATAGCTACCACCCTAATTAAAATAATTCACTTTCTTAAATAAAAACCCAAAGTTCAGAGTCCCAAGTCCAGTTAAGTTCATGTTGAGTTCAAGGAGGCAATGATTATGTAGCCCGAATTGTTGAAGAGCTACCGCTGTGGGAGGACGTAAAACAGATAGTGGATTTCTTTCCGTCTTTTGTTGAAGTTTTTTCTCCTACTCATGGAGTTGTAAAGAGACTAAGAGAAACCAGCCACATTTTTAACTAACATGTGAGCTTGAAAACTGATGCACAAGGCTAAAAGCAATTCAGTTCGATTGTTATCATTTAATTATTCTTAACTAAAAGACAAGGCAAAAGTGTGGTACCCTGTTTCAATAGGCGAAGAGAAAAAGAGAGCTGCATATTTATATGCATTAACAAATGAGTCGAGCGTTACTACCGAATCATTTATGAAGTCCATAACCTGAGGATAAAAAGTGGGATGTGTCAAAAAAAAAAAAGAAAATAAAAATAAAAAAAAAAAAATAAAAAAAAAAATCAAAGAACCATACAGGAAATGACCAAATGATAAATTTAATGTTCTATCCCTTAAAAAGGAAGATGTAAAATCGAAATCCGCAAAACTGTCTTATGATAATTCTCTCAAAAAATGTAGACTAATCAGGCACAGTTGTTGATATAAAAGAAAGCAGTGTGTTCTATATATATAGTACCAATGGGCATGATATCTAAGAAAAGGAAGGAGAAATTTGGCGTCCAAACATGTGGTACCTCTAGATAGTCCAAATGAAGGCGATTGGAACCTGGGTCTTGATGGGCTCCAGAACCAAGCAATACCTGTGCGCCAAAACCGAAGTAAAAGTTTTGCAACATCTATAGCAGACAATGTTAGGTTGTTACCCTACGTAGGGGTTAGATCGCAATTTTATATCTTCTGCTAAGGTTCAAAGCGGCATAATCACTTAGCATCTACAACAACTCCCATTTTTACCATGGACCAAAAATCCACAAGATGGGTAAGCTGCAAAAGGAACTTCTAAAATAGAACAAGAAGAAGTTCCTGACATAGTTACATGGTCAGAGCACTTGATCTTAAGCAAATGAATACATGACAAAAAGGTGTAGCTACGGTTTCTCAATGCTATTGAGTTCACTCTGACCATACCCAAAGCACCAACAGATACACCAAAATAATAATAATAATAATTATAATAATAATAATAATAATAATAATAATAATAATAATAATAATAATAATAATAATAATAATAATAATAATAATAATAAGGAAAAAGAGGGAACGAAAAAGAAGAAACAAAAAACAATTTTTTTGGATCCAATAAGATTCCTTGGAAAAAAGGAACATGGAACAAGATACAATGTGGATTATACACAAGGTAGCAGCATCATGTTGAAAATGCAATAATGGAAAGGTACCTCTAAAGATGAGCTGCATCTTTGATGCATAGTCTGGACAATGCTTAAGAAGTGAGAAACTAGAACAGGAAATTCATGCTGGATATCAGGCTGAGCCTTTAGCGCGTTCATCACCTGGAAAATGGAAGAATTTACATGTGAGAGATAGTTAAGTGGTTAGGGGAAAGTCAAAGGAATGAAAAGTGTCAGTGAACCCAGCTTCTAAGCACATACCAGTATTCGGGTTAAATCTTCATTTTCATGAGCAAATATGGCACATATGTCTAACAGTTTTGGTAAATCGAGCAACTTCTTGTCCTGTAAAAGCTCTGTACAAAAAGTTTTGCAAACAAAATGAATAAGAGCCAGGATTCGTTTCACAGGTATATATTTGTAGTTGACCAATACCCTTTGAAAACTTTGTAATCAAATAATCCCACCAGAATCATGTTTTAGTCTTGAATCAGAACTTTCTAGAACATACTAAGAACGTATGCTGCAACACCAATAAATCTTCATTCATTGACCAACATACATTTTCCCAGAAATGTATGCTGCATGACTGGTAACAGCAAGAAATTGACTAAATAAAATAACATTTTCTGTTATTTTCTAGCATCCCCGACATAAAGAGTAGATAAAATGCTGAAACTTGAAAGGGAAAAAAATGAATTGAAAAAGTGCTATAGTGGCCATTCAATCCATAAGTAAAGGTTGATGAGTTGATCGCAAATGATCAGAAATAACAGAGCAGCCTCCACATCAGATTTAATTTATAAGAGAATCAAAACAATTTTCAGCGTTGGCATTTCACAGGTATCCCCCTAAACACCCACACCCACACACATATAGAGAGATGCAATAACACGAAGTGTTGGGGGAATAATTTTGTGGAAGTAGATTTATGCTATAAGATTATGGTATTAAATTAAAAGAAAAATGGAAGTAAATTTATGCATTGTCTAGTTTTTTATAGCATGCTGTGTTTGAATTTTTCTTTTTCCATAGAATTAGATGCTCAAATTTCAGTTATTTAATGAAGGGGCTTAAAACCAAAGCCATATTTCATGCAATTGACACAGCACAATCACAACAGGGTCTAACAAATAGCAAGGAAAAAGATTATGCATGATTATAGCACCAATGCAAGACTAAAGATCGCCAGCACATGAACCAAAAGCACAACAAAGTATCACCACACCTTCATGATCTTTTGAACTCAGAGAGTCAGCAGCTTTAGCCCCTGGATCACGGTTGGATGATCTGCAGAAAAGAGACCGCAGCATCAGATACTACATGCCAATAGAATAAGAGAGCAAGGTACAACAGTTCCTCAGTAACTCACAAGCGATATAAGATCATGAAGATACGCCGGCACAGCTCGAACTCACCAACTATAACCCCAGCAACAATACCCCGGGCCCCTCGGTGTGGAAAATCATACCACCTGCTTCTAAATTTCAGGAAACTTTCGAGGAAGGCATGCAAGGATTCATCAGTAGCCACTGAAAATAAACACAAGTCTCGTTAAACATAAAAATTGTGACCTCACACTTGCAGATGGACAAAAGAGCAGCACCAACTTCAATAAGAGCTTCTCAAGAAAAAAAAACAAATAGAAACCTTCTCTCCAGAAATCCCTTGGGCGCAGCTTGAGCAGACGAGACAATTCCCTGTTCAGCAAATCAACCACGTGCTGCGACTCCACAGGATCCAATCCACCCTCCTCGGGCCCAAGCCCAGCCGCCACCGCATCATCCTGCGGCAAGTAAACTACGAATTTTCCACCCACCGGGGCCTTGCTCACCCACTCCCCGTCCTCGCCCATCCTATCTCTGCTCGTCGGCGGCGCCATCGACACACCGCCGGCGGCAGCTGCCCGGAGGGAGTTGGAGAGGGTGTTGTGGGAGGTAGGGTTCCGGGAATCCGACTTCGGAGCGTGTTTTTTCTGGGGTTTTCCGGTGCTCCTGGAATCATTACTGCTCTGGCTATTGAATCGATTCGACATCTCGATCAAGCTTTTAACCCTCCCCAGAGAATGCGGTTTCTTTGTGTGTGCGTCTGTGTGGAGAAGAAGTTCGAATAGCTTGAAAAAGGGATGTTAAAGATGTGTAGACGATGATTGATTATCCGGAGAGGCAAAGGCGTACCCAGTTACCCAAATTTGCTACAATCGCCTCTTCTCCAAGGTTTTTTCCATGTTGTTTAAGATTAATGTAATTTAAACCCCCAAATTTTATGATTTCTACATTTCACCCCAAATTAATGCATGGGTAAGGGAAATATTATTTTTTTTTGAGAGAAATTTCATTGTAGGGATTGATTTTTATTATTGTGTCACAATAAGACTTGAATTTTTAATTTTTTTATTTGAAGGTTTCAATTTTAAGTTATTTTCAATATAAGATCTACTTTTGCATTCTCCTTTTCAATTTAAGACTCATGTTATATTTTGATATAATTATGTAAACAGCGATACTTTTTTTTTAAATTAATTTTTTCTAAGTACTTATAATGAAAAACATTAAACATCTTTAATAAAATTTTACAATAAGATAATTATTTCATAATTTACATTTATGCAAAAGCAAAATGAAATTTATTTTAAAAGTTAAAAAATTAATTTTAACTTAATTTTATTTTAAATATGTGACAACATTAAAATATAAACTACTTAGACAAATAATTTTATTTTTTTTTTATAAATAAACTTATAGAAAATATTATTTGTGACTAAATTTATATTTTGAAAAAGGTTAAGAATATATAAAATTAATACCCGAAAAATTCTATTGTAGTTAGTTTTATCCACAAATAATTTTTTCTATAAGTTTATTTAAAAAAAAAAAACTATTTTTTCTAAATAATTTATATTTTAATATTATCACATATTTTGAATAAAATTAAGTTAAAATTCATTTTGAACTTTTAAAATAAATTTCAAAAAGCATTTGCATAAATGTAAATTATAAAATAATTATCTTATGAGATATTTTATTAAAAATATTTATTATTTTTCATTATAAGTACTGAAAAATAAATTTAAAAAAAAAAAGTATTGTTGTTTACATAATTATATTAAAATACAAAGTGATTTGGAGTCTTAAATTGAAAAATGGAATGTAAAAGTAGACCTTATATTGAGAGTAAGTTAAAATTGAAATCTTCAAATGGAAAGGTTAAAAATTAGGCCATATTGTGACACAATAACAAAATATCAAGCCTTACAATAGAATTTCCCCTTTTTTCTCAGTCAAATATTATAAAAGTAGTGGTACAAAAAAAAATATATATATACAATAGACGTTCCAATTAGGGTTGACATTTTTAAACTTATAACAGAGAATCGAATTGAATCGAACCAAATTGAATTAATGAGAAATTAAATCGAACCATATCAACTCGTTTGTAATGGTAACTGATTACCGGTTACCAACTTGTTATCGGCTTGGTATTGGTCCCAAAACCATAAGAGTTTGGTTTTACCGAACCTGTAACATCCCATTTTATGAGTAAGAATAGAAGAGTATTTCCATTCCATATCTAGCTCGACTTTGTTTAGTTAAGATCGTTTAATTCAAAAATCGAATTAAATAGATGTTCTCGTCTATTTAATTTGTCAAATAAAAAATTTAAGGTCAAGTAGATGTCCCCGTCTACTTAATTTCCTTAATTGCTTATTTGTTTCTTAATTGCTTAATTGATTGTCTTTTATTGTAAATTTTCTCCTAAGTTTAAGCTACGTTAAGCATTCCAAAGTTTTCGAAAAATTAACTAAGCTCGACAATAGATTATTTTTCTAGCCTAAGTTAAATTTATACCTAAGAGCATCTCCAATAAACTCAGTGAATTGCTATCTACATGGCATTAAATAGAAGGCTTTATCTCCACGTGTATTGAATGCACTAAATCTCCAATGGTAAATGTCTAAACACAGTAAATGTAAGGACACGTGTTTTTTTTCTTCTGTAGTTCTAAAATTAAAGGAAAAAAATGGTTCAGCATGTCCAACAAGACTTCTACATGTAGAAGGACTTATGCATTTTATTTTTTTCTCTTTCATGCCACGTCATTATATGTGGAGTCTAGACATTCACGGTTGGAGACAATTTTTATTGAACTTCTTCTATATTTCTACAATTAACAGTCCATTGGAGCTGCTCTATGTTCTTTGAGCCAAAGATTTCTAATTGTCTCGGCCTTATGGCCATGAGGCCCATGGCATCTTGGCCATGTCCTCAAACAAGCACATTGATATACGCTATTATTTCATCAGATCTCTGCTTGAGAATGAAGTGTTGACTTTGAAGAAGATTATTGAAGCAAGAACCAGAAATATGGTAACGAAGGTGGTTACCAATGACAAAGTGAATGTAACGCCCCACTTTTATTTAACGAAAATCAGAATAATTTTTTCAAATTTATTTTCCAAAACACTTGAGGCGCTATTCTTTCCCAAAACAATTTCCAATCATATCATAAATGTATCTCCCAAACGGGTTCAATAATCAAGTCAACACCCAAACCGAGTTTCTTAAATTTATAAATACTAGGGAGTACACTCCCTATCACTCATCCGATACTCAACGTAAATCAGAAATACATAAAGGATACTAAGCAGTTTAAACAGCAAAAGTAATTAGTAACATGACCACCACTCGCCTCCTCATGTCGTGCCCGCAAATACTAACCTGCATCCATGAAGAGCGGGTGGGGATGAGTATAATTGGAAAATCGAGATGCTCACCACTATGCAATAATCAATATTCATGTTCATAAAATAAAGCAGGTATGGTCGCAACATGTATACAAATCAATCACCTATCTCATCTCCTATCCCAGAGTTCTTACTCGTGTGCACACCTAACCATAGACTACTAGATGGCCTTACAACGAATGCCCCTCAATGTGGCCTTACATCGAATCCCCTACTAGTAGGAGTAAATGTCGAATGCCCCTCAATGTGGCCTTACAACGACACCGTACCGAATGCCTTCAATGTGGCCTTACAACGATACCATACCGAATGCCCCTCAATGTGGCCTTACAACGATATGAGGAGACTGCCTATAAAAGACACAACCTCATAGTCGGAAATAACCGTTCGACGGCCGATACAACTCACATAGAAGGCTACATAGTCCACATGCATATACTTTGATTATACCAAAAATAAACAGTAATAACTTTTAAGGCATAGCAATTTTTCAAATTAAACTCACCTGGTGTCGGATGATAAAGCAATTTAACCAGAAAGTCGTAGGTGGTTCAGACACTGTTTGTCAGACACCGACATAAGTCAAGACAGTCCCATAAGCTCCCATAAGTAACTATCTCGACTCTTACACATATAACGAGAATTATACTTAGTCGAATCACATCGACTAAGAAACTCGTGGAAGTTGTGGAGTTGGAACATTAGGACGACTTTTAGACTCGACCAACCAAAAAATAAATCATCTAAAAGCAGTCAACGAAGGTTTGACACAACAACGGGGTCAACAGGTCAAGGATTTGCCAACAAGGCCAACCGGTGCCAAAAACGGGTTAAACGGATTAGTTCGAATTTATAAGAATAGGGCTATAAGGAGTTAGGTTTGTACATTTCAATTCAAATTTTTACAACATATAAAGGACTAAAAAACACACATTTTCACCAAAGGAAAACCCCTATACATGCCTAACCATTTTAAATAAATCAAGCAAAAAATTAACTAAAAATCGAATTAAATTATTTAAAATATCTACAGTATGAATTTAAAGTTGAAATTGTTACAACAGCAAGATATCATGTAGATCAGCAACATATCCACAAATTAGCTATTTTTAACAAGTACTCGATTTTATATGAATTTATTACGAAACAGTCCAAAGTTATTTTTCGAGTTTTGACGAGGCTATATGCCATATAAAAATCTTAAATTTTTACTACAAGTAATATAACAGCAATATAATCACATATCCAAAAATTAGAATTTTTGGAGTAATACACGAATTATGGTGATTTTAACAAAAACCGTCTGCAGCATGATTTTCAAAAATTCACATCTCACATAGTACACATCGAAATTACACAAGGTTAAAGCCATTGTGTCAAGGACATTTCTAAGTCCAATAATCCACAACACTTCTACGGAAAAGACCACATTAACCTCAGTTTGACAATTTTTAAAAGTGACGGCAATCACTTTAATATCAAATGGCATATATATATATCAAAATTCACTCAAATACATGTCTACGACACATAATTAAATTCGAATGTCACACGTTCAACAATGACAACACATATACGAGCACTTAAACACATATAGGAGCGAGATAAATAAGTCGAGGGTTAACCCGAGTAACGTTCTCGGGACGGGGTACGAGAAACGAGCAACGTAAGGGTCGAACGGGCTTGCTAAAGGGATCACGGGACCGCCGGGACCGTAGCGATCCAGCTTGCGCGGGACGATTCGAACAACAGCAACACACGAACAAGGTTGCTGCGAGCGACGGGCCGCGCGAACTGAAATTGTACGTACAACAGCAAGGGTCCAGGACCGTACACGCGTGAACACGGGACCTTGGGACAACGATGCGATGCGAACCGGAACGACGAGTGCACGCGGGACAGCAGCGGGGCAGCAGTTGCACGTGGGTTCGCGAGCAGGAGCAGCAATGGACGGTGGAGCACGGTTGCGGGTCGTCGGTTCTCGTCGGGTGCGGCGAACAACCTGGGAACGGAGCAGGGGATCGCCGGTGTTGCAGGTGCGGGCAACGCGAGGGTTATGATCGAGTCGTGGGTTTGCCGGGCTTGGATTTTAACCAACATGGGCTGGGTAGGTTCGACATGGTCATGTCGGTAGGCTCGATTAAATAATTGAAAGCTCGATTCTCGGTTTGATCGCACGGTAAAAAAAAAACCGGGATGTTTATTTATATACATAATACACATAATAATATTTATTTTATAATAAACATTTAAACACATAAAATCAATTAGGCAAATTAAATATTTAATATACATATTAATACTAATAATAATAACAATCAATTATTCAATTAATAGCAATTATGCATTTAGACATTTATTATAAATAACAATAATATTTATTAATAATAAACATTTAAACACATAACAAAAATTAGGCAATTAATGATAATAACAATATCAACAATCATTTACACAATTAATAATAATAATTATAATAATATTAATAAAAATAATAAATACTAATCTCAAATAATCCATAACTAAACTAGGTATTACACTGAAGTTGTGTTCAACTTCAGTTGGCTTGCTAGAATAACATATCTGAGAAGACTACTGCACTAATCGAGGTCTGATGACATATTGCAATCAGTCCTTAAGTGGGAGGTTGTTGAAAAGAGACTAGCCACCGATGCCGCCAATGCTAAAAATGGAGCAACTGCTGAAAAGAGACTAGCCACCAATGTTGAAAACGGAAAAACAATAAATGGAGCAGCCACCAATGCTGCTTCTTCTTCTTTTTTTTTTTTTTTTTTGAAATTTGATGCATTTTTGCATCTATAAATAGAAATCAAATGGGGGCATCAAATACCACATCCAAAATAAGGAGAGTGAATAAGAAGCACAATAATTTAGCTCGTGTGTGCATTTGGGTTGTGAACTGTGAATGAGTTTGAGAGTGTTTTGTAAACACGAGTTCATTTCTTTGCTCATAATAAAATATCTGCAGCAATCCGGAGACGTAGGCATTATTGGCCGAACTCCGTTATCAATTTGGTATGTCTAATTTTTCGCTTTTACTTTACTTCTATAGATTCGACTTCATGAAAATTCGACGTATTTTTCCCCCAACAAATAAAATAAGTCATTTGTCCATATTATTGTGAAAACCAGATCCATAATTGCAGGGTATGGTTGAGTTGAACAACATTTCAAAAGAATATCATGTAAATCGTCATGATTTGCTCCCACAATAAGTACATCATACGTATAAGATAAATTAAACAAAAAAAAAAGGACAATCTTTATTTTTTCACATCAATATTTGGTTCACAAGTTAGTTAGCATGCATCATATATTGTCTCTCTTTCCCTTAGTTATTATGAGAAGAAATAAATATTATAACATTATTAACTTTTGATTAATTGCAATTAAGGCCATGTATTTGGAACAATCTTCTGGCAAAGCCCAATGTCCATTCCATTGTAAGCAATTGGGGCATACATCCACAGATCATCTGAACTTAGCAGCTGCATGCTCAAACAAGAGAAAAATAAAATAAATAAAAAATTAACATGCAATAAAAATCTTGATCATTATTATATAAAATAAATCAAAATTAACATGCAATTTAAATCAAAATATGTTACCTTGATCTGAAGCTGTAAGAACTTCACGTATTCGACAGCTTCCTCAAGCATCGTGCTGATGTCGACCTGATTCACGTAATCATCGTACGATCGCTTACGAAATTCATGAAATCGAAAAGTGTAAATAATAATAATAATAATAAAAGTTAGCTGCCAGAAGAAATTATTTACCTTAGTTCCATTTGGAACAAGATTCTGCAAGATTCTCAGTCTCTCATTAATTCTTTCTCTTCTTTTCTGAGATGAAAAGAATTGCATCACATGTTAGTTAGATCATATTTGATTGATGAATAATAATAATGTCAAAGAAACTAGAGAGATATTTACAAAAATTACCCCTAAAGTCTAGGCTTATTACAAATGAGGTCATTTATTATTTAAAAAAAGTACAAGAATTTTGTATACATAAGGAGGGTACATTACATAGAACATATTTTTTAAATTTAACAGTGCCATTTTTGCTATTACACTGGACTTCAGGGGTATCATTTTGAATAATTATCGCTTTTCGAACTCGTAAAATTGTGTCCAAATTAATTTTATTACCCTTGCATAGACACTTTGAGGATCAGTTGCCGGGCCCTTGCCGGTTTTAGCTTTTCCGTTTGACGCATTATTTAGTTCATTAGAATCATCTTCCTCGGAGCTAAAAGTGGTTGATGCGCTCTGTTGCCCATTAACGCCACCACAAATGTTGTTCATTTCTTCATCAATGTCAACAGTTTGCGCGACTTTCTTGCTCTTTTTCGACTGTGACGAATTCCTTTTACTTTTGTTAGCCTGTGTTAGAGATATTGCAGTCCATGAGAAAATAGAGTTAAGTTAAACATTTGTTAGACCAAAATGATCATAACTTGCAAAACCAGCCCTGAAGTAAATAAAAATGTACCCTAATACTCACATCTGTTGAAGCCCGAGTCTTTTTCTTAGGATTTCCGGACGAATTATCTTGTGGGGCTTCAATCTTCCTCTTGGTTTTCCCAGTATCATTGTCTGCAGTTTGATTCCCTGCATTTCCCGGTCTTTCGTTTAACCCGATAAGTTCACGCATGATGTCATCAGAAAAAATCGGGAGCTGCGTTAGCCCCTCGTTATCCTCCATGAACTGAAATGAGGTGTAATTACTGCTCTCATTGGCTCGACCCGTTATCTCAAATTCGCTGCAGTTGCTGCTTTCTTGTTTTGTGTTTTCAATAGAATGATCAAATGGTACACACACATTTGCATTAATTTCAGCGGCATTCAGACCAGAAGCCAAGCAAGTTAAAGAGGTGTCGTCGGTTTTCGAAAACGGGCTATTGTCGTCGCAATGCAGCAAAAAATCAGTGTCCTCAAGGGAGAACATTTTGCTCAAACTCTCCCACTCTTCATCAAGAAAAGCTCCAAAAGCCTCCATTTTTTTTTTTTTTTTGTGGATTAATTGGAGAAAAAAAAGGGTATGAAAAAAAAAAGAAAACTTTGGAGGAGGAAAAAGCAATTAATTTGATTTGAAATTCATAAAAGTTGAGCAACATATTTATACCCAAGGACATGAGAGAAGGGGTGGTGTAGTGAGGGGTTTGACTTCAAATTTTTAATGATTTTTTTTTATATATATATATAAATATAAACATTCATATTTGTATTATGAATAAGGGTTTTTGTTCCTAATTCTCTGTAACTAACCTCAAAGTGTGGACTTTGGGAGATAAATAAAAATAAAATATGAAAGAGTCAAACTGGTGGGCCCAACAACAGAGCAAGTACAACTCATGAAGTGGACCAAAGTACATGCAATTAAAGCTTTTAAAAAACAAAGATGATCGATCTCCTTGGACTATTAAGATAAACCGCCATTAGACTTGCAATTGAAATGATGAGATAATGCGTTAACTGTCTGAATCTAATCATTTGATGGTGACTAACTATATGATTTATCAACACTTATACTTAACAACAACATTACAAAATTAAAGATTAGTTATTATCACTACAAAAAAATTGTTATATTCCAACAGAAAATTCTATGGTAATATATTTCAATGGAAATTCCAATAGATATTCCAATGGTATAGTTTCCGTTGGAATGATTCCAACGGAAATTCCAACGAAAATATTCCGGTGGAATGTGCTTTTCATTAGAATTTTTGATAAATTTGATGATTCCGACGACTACATTTCCAAAGGTTTTTTTACCGTAGGAATTTCTGTTCGAATATGAATTTTTCGTTAAAATTTTTTATTTCCACCGACGTTGGAAAATCTACCGTTGGAATCTTCAAAATCCAACGGAAATTTCAATGAAAAACTCATTCCACTGGAATATTCTTGTTGGAATTTCCGTTGGAATCAATTGAAAAAATACCAACAAAAATAATAGCATTAAAATATCTATTGGAATTGTCGTTGGAATTTTATTGAAATATATTTACGTTGGAATTTTATCATTTTCTTGTAGTGTATTTGGCTCAAATTTATTTAGAGAATTCATAAATTTGTTTATTTATAATAGACTAAGAGCATCTCCAATGGTATATCGTCCATTTGGAGATGTATAACATGAAGAAAGAGAAGTACAAAATTTTGTCTTCAATGGTAAATGTCAATTTTAGTATAATTTGACACGTGTAGCATTATAATTGGTTGGGAATAATATATATATATTTAATAAATAATAAAAAATACAATAGAAGATGTCTAGAAGTACTTCTAGACATAGAAAGACTTCTAGACATTTTGAATGCCACATAAGATTAAATATGCCACATGGCAATAAAAAGGAGCAATTCATGGATCATTGGAGATGCTCTATCTTTTATTGTTTATAGATAATTGATATATAATTTATTTTTATTATTATTTTTTGAAGTTACTTTGTATATTCGTTTATGACCACTACCAAAATATTATTATATTCCAATCATACTGTAATATATTCTAACGAAAATTCCAACGGATATTCCAATGTTATATTTTTCGTTGGAATGATTCCAACGAAAATATTCCGTTGAAATGAGTTCTCCATCGAAATTTTAGATGGAATTTGATAATTCGTCTGGCTAACGGTTTTTTACCATATGAATTTTCGTTGGAATATGCAATTTTCGTTAGAATTTTTACTCCGTTGGAAAATATAGCGCTGGAATTTAAAATCCAACGGGAATTTCAATGAAACATTCATTCCAACGGAATTTTTTTGTTGAAATTTCAGTTGGAATTTTATTAAAATATATTTGTGTTGAATTTTTCGTTGGAATTTTAACATTTTGTTGTAGTGGACAAATTTGCGAATAGTTCCTTTACTTTTATTTTGGACATTTAAGAAAAACATTTTTTGTAAAAAATGTCTAATTTAATACGGTCACAAAGATAATGCTCACCTACCTACGATTGACACATGTTAACATTCCCACCGCTTATGTGACATGCACACATTGGTGATGTAATTTTTTTAAACATATTAACATCACCATGTATGCATGCCACATAAGCGGTACTGACGGTCGCAATGGACAGGTTAACTGCGTGATTATCATTTTGAAATGTCATGTTTTTAGTTCTAATCTTTATTTTTATTAATTTTATAATACTTTAATTAAAATGTAATGAATATATATGAAACACGCAGAATAAACCATAAAGCGGAATAATGTAAGAAACTAATAATGAATAAAGTGGATTTGTTTATAGTGTTTTGAAAAAAAAAAAAAAAAAAAAAAAAAAA